AGAGAGAGAGAGAGAGAGAGAGAGAGAGAGAGAGAAGACTTGATAAGTGTATAGTTAAGATAAATACCGAAACTTAAACTTACCACAGCCACTTTGGGATTTTATTTTGAAAATCCATTTGCCGAAACTTACCACAGTCACTTCCGGCGTATGTCGACCACTGCCTGAAGCTACCTCCTCCGAGTCTGCAGCTGGATACTATTGACCAGTCTTCAGCATTAGTTGTTTGACTTTGTTCTACCAATAGAGGGAAGTGTCCGCAAGTCCATACACACATTTCTTTCACTTCCATGGAACAACTGCTGTCCACACCGGCTTCTAAAAACTCTGGCTGCGTGCTGAGTATCATCATCTTTGTTTGTAAATGTGACCACCTGACCCATTTTCAATTTTAAATCAGTGGCAGAAACAGTAGTAGTTACATCACTCTCTGTTTCTCTGTGAAATCCTTTCATGCACCCTGTAAACTGATAACATGATAAGATGTCCACTGTAGTCATCGCTGTCCCTGAAATGGTTAAATTATCATCCTTTCATGATCAAGTCCTACGAAGCTGGAAACTTACGTACAACCACAATTTTACAACACATCAAATATGGAAAAACAGATTTATCCTTTACAATAGAAAAAAATATTTCTACAGAACTGAATGGATAAAGGCGTGTCGTCATTACGCTACCAAGTGGATGATCAGGGAAACTGGCTCTCATTTGAAAATTTCGGTGCCGTTCACAATATCTGATGTCAAAGATTAGAATTTAAAAAGATTTTTAAAGCAATTCCTCAAGCTATCAGGCTCCAGATTGACAAAATGACCTGGAAACTTTGCCAGCTACGAGCCTCTGAATATTAGCCAGCATATTTCTTGGAAAAAGAAACATACCAAACACAACTCTCAGAAAATGTCTAACCAATCACGTATTCCCTATAAAACCGAATAAAAACTTAATCAAAAAATTTCTGAAACTGAAATTTAAAATATTGGAATTTAATTTTTGAAACAAAACTGTCCAAAAACAAAAGAAACACTTTAAAATTCTAAATGAAATTGATCAATTCTGTGAACTGCTGAGGAAAAAGTTTAATATTGAACAAAACATTTGCATTGACCACGGACTGTTGAACAGCTGAAGCTGTCGATTCAAGCAAGAATGCTGGACATGGAACATGTTGCAGCCATAACATTTTAAGTTAATGATTATTTGCTAAAAAAAACAATCAAGTGTATCTGTTTGAACATGAAATATCTTGTCTTTGTAGTGTATTCAATTAAATATAGGCTTAACTTAGTTAGAAAGGCCATAGTATTCTGTTTTATTTGTTTGGCACAACGTCGCAAGTTCATTGGAATTGAGTTTGTAAATTATTGATTGTGAAAATTGAGTCACAGTGGGTGAAGTGTGATAATGTTTTCGTTATCGGTAAAGTTTATTTTTATCACTAATGCAAATTTAACTTTTATTTCCTGTGAGATCTGGCCTTGGAGCAGAATATCTTTGGCTCTTTACAGTATCACATAATGCACATGGAGTCCTCCTGAGGGCTTGGCAGCTTGTGCTCTTCAAGGTCTCTGCTTTGCTTGAATCTGTATATTTTTTTCCTGTCTTGAAATCTAAAAATATTCTTGAGCACGGATGTCTATTATGTTGCGCAACTTCTGAGTTTGAAGTGGCAGGAATGAGAGGCTGAGACTAAGACTTTCGGAGCTAAGTTCTAAGTAAACAGACATGGAAGATGGACAGTTTCCTGGAACAGGGGAAATTGTCCAGATTTAACTTCAAACTATTGCATTGGTCATTCTTTTTCTGCACTCTTGCAAAGGGAAAGCTTAGTCTAATTATAGTAGCAATGATAGGGATATGTACTGTAGATGGAAATGAATCCAGAGACATCCTAGGAATGTTTTTTTCTGCATAATGTCAAACTACAGGTGTTTACATTTACCTGTACCAATAACCCCAAATTTCAGTTGAGGTAAGGGCACACCAAATCGCAATTTGGTGAATAAAAAGGTTGGACCCGCACTGTCTCTTTATGTAACTGTTAAACAAAATTTTCTTCTTAGTGCTGTAATGTCAGTCTGTGCTCAGTGTTGTTCTGTCGAGATCTAATTGGCTCTTCCCCAGCTTACTTTTACAAGAAGACTGGTAGTTGCAGTGAAACCTTTCAATTTAAGATTAAAATGTGCCAATATTAGAAGTGAATTCTCTTGCAAATAAAAGAAAAGGTCAATTGGAATGTTTGGATTTTACATAACATCCCCTTTCACAGTTCTTTGAAGGGATGAAAATAAACTATGGGTTCATGAGGTTTATCTCAGTGTTTATTTATTTATTTTTTTCTGCCTGTACCTAGGAATTCTCATTTCAACCATACATTGGTGCATTCAAACACTTGCCAAGAGTACAGAACCATGGTTTGTATCATGAAGTCATTGACATGAACTTGAACGAAAAGTGTCACGTATGACATGTTTTGCTTTAACCATTTGAATGAGTTCTGTCAGGGTTGGTTAACACATGTCAACAATCTCCCGTCTTTTTTATTTATATGTATCAGGTATATGGGTGGGTGGCAAAACAAAATGACTTATTTTACAAAGAAAAACACCCACGGCTGTATATCATACCTTTCGGATTATAAAACGCTACATTTTTACCCACGCTTTGAATCCTGCAGCTTTTAATGTGACGCGGTTTATTTCAGATTTTTTTTGATGACGAGCTTCAAGCCACCAATCGATTCATCCATTGTCTTGCCACATCTGGTTGGAGTGTGCACGTGTGAGGGAGGGTTGCCCGAGAGGAAAATGCGGAAGCTTGTGTGCGTAGCAATGCGTGGCTGTGTACTATCGGAGCAATTAAAAGCGAAAAGAAGAATCTTGAGTTGAGTTGAATGAGCATAGGGAATGAGTGCCATAAATACAACCATATGTGTGCCGCCAATCTTTCTGGGTTTTTCTGTTTTTTGTTTTTTGGCCACCAACTCTCACCATCGCTGGCAATGGACAACAGGTGTGATCCCGGGGGACAGCAACTCTAGCCATGGTGGGACATCTCCCCCTGCTCCTCCCTAACACGAAACAAAAGGGTTTACAAAGGCTGCCCTGCTGGGTGACGAAGAAGGCTCTCCAAGCTCGTTGGCCAGTTTGCATCGTGTGGTAACAAGAGAGAAAGGTTCTGGGATGCTACGACGTAACTAGCTGCGTTTGCCATTGTTTAGGGGGGGGGGGTCTACCTGTGTTTCAGGTAAATAAAAGCTTTAAAAAATCCATCTGTGTTACCTCTTTCTTTGCAAATATATCATGTTATAATGTAGAGACCCGCGGCTAATAATACGAAATGGCCAAATATACTGGATGGACAATTTTTTTATGGCTAAATTTAGCTGGTGTGGCTTTTAATCAGGTGTGTTTTGTAGTCCGGAAATTAAGGTGCATTCAACATGAGAATTTATAAATGTTTACAAATCCCAGTTAAAGCCATTTGAATTGTCAATGACGGAAATGTCCTGACCCTTTCAATGAAAACAGAAGTGACGGTGTTTGGTCCCAGTCACCCTTGTACATCCAATCCTGCTGACTTTGAACCCCTGGCTCTTTACCTTAAGCCAACAGTCTTGAACTTGGGTCTTAAACTGGACAGTGATTTTTAAATTGGACCAGCAAATTGGTGCTGTTGTTAAATTCAACTTCTTTCATCTTCCGCAGCTGGCTAAAGTAAAGCATCTCTCGGATGGATTACTGTAATGCATTTTACTTTGGAGTCAGCCAAACCTCCATTAATTGTCTCCAGTTGTTGACAGGTACTCGTAAGAGGGAGCACATAACCCCTACTCTGGAATTTCTTCACTGGCTCCCTATACACTTTAGAGTTCTTTTTAAGATTCTATTATTTGTTTGGAAATCATGAAATGGCCTTGCCCTACCTTACCTATCTGAGCTCTTCCGCCCTTGCACACCTGCCGGGTGCCTCAGGTCTGCGGACTAGACATTATTAGAGGTATAGAGCAGGGGTCCCCAACCTTTTTTGCCCCACGGACCGGTTTATGTCAGACAATATTTTCAGGGACCGGCATATCAGGTGTGGCGGAAATAATACAACAAAATAATATGGTATGAGCTGCATGAAAACTGTGGTGTTTTCGAAATATAATAATAAACACAAGGAGCGTCTAATCTGGCCGCAACACTCTGATCGCTATGGTAAT